ACTGTATATATAAAAGTCTGTGGCAGCAGCTGTCCTTGAACAACAAATTTCAACCATCTGGGCCATGACTTCCTCAATTTTAAAATGAGGAGGTTGGACTACATTGTTTCTTAGGACTTGCTAGGTTTAAAGTTCTCTGATTTCAAGTGCTAAAGAGTTTACTCATTCCACAAACATTTAGTGAGTGTGTTGTCGTGTGCCAGACACCAACCTAGACTCTAAGTATGTGGTAATGAGCAAAACAGACAAAAAGGCCCGGCTCTCCTAGAGCACACATTCTGATGGGAGGAGTGGTAGTCAGATAATAAACAATTGAGCAAGTGAACATATGGTACATTAGTTCATAAAAAGTACTGGGGGGGGGGGAATAAAGCAGGAGAGAGGGATTAGGAGATGGTGGGAGAGTGAGGTCATGTTAAATGATCAAGGAGACCTCACTTACAAGGTGACATTTGCATAGAGACCATAACGAAGCATGATGTGGATGTCTGCATGAGAGAACATCCCAGAAACAGGAAATAACATAAGCCCTGGGCAGAAGTATAATCACTGTGTTCAAGGAAGCAAGGAGGAGCAGTAGATGAGGTAAGAGAGGCAGTGAGAAGCCAGATCATGTGGCAATTTGTAGAACCTTGCAAAGGCTTTAGCGTTGCTCATAAGTGCAAGAGGAAGCTGGGGCAGGGCTTTAAGCAAAGAAGAGACACATAAAACACACATTTTTAAAAGCTCACTTCAGCTGCTATGAGAATAGACTGTTGAGTGGCAGGGGTGAATGTCGAGAGATAATTGCAGTTATCCAAGCGAGAGGTGGTGGTGGCTGGGACCAGGGTGCTACAAGCAGAGTACTGAGAAGTAGTCAGCTAGATTTATTTTGAGTTTACTGAGTGTTTGTATATTTGAGGAGCCTCTGTCTAAGATCTGTGAGAACAAATTCTCTGTGTGTGCTTGTAGAGGTTCAGGAACTAAATGAGGCTGGGATTCAGCTCTGGAGAGCACAGGCCTCCTGCTCCCGGGTGCTTGGAGGCTCCTTTGCCCAGGTTGCTATCGAAGGAGAGAAGACAGTGACGGCCCAAAGCAATGCCGCTTTTAAACCATAGCATGAGGGGTCATTTGTCCTGAGGGCGTGGGCTCCGTCTGACTCTGTGATTCCTCCAGTCCCCCACTGAGCTTTGAAGGTCTCTCTGCACAGAAAAATACAGCCCCGTGTCCACCACATACAGGAGTCCCATCACCAGGCAGAAAGTGATTTGACACCAAGGTGGAGAGATGAATAAAACTGCTGG